TTAAACTACGTGGATATTCTTTCTTGAAACTGGCTGCGACAAATTTCTATAGACATAACTCCATTCTTGATGGTATTGCATTGTTACAAATTACCAGTTAACAGTTTTACCTTAGAAATTCATACTTTAATAAAACTGTTCTTTTTCGTCATAGCAAAATATACTTATTTGAATCTAACCTTAATTCTAAATGATAAATGATTGGCGACAGATTTCGATCCTAAGATCCACAGATTGCAAGTGAATGCTTTAACCAGCAGGCCATTTTCTGATATGATTAAAGTTTTGCATTAAATAATTATTTTTTAATTCTTTACTTTAGCTTGAATGCCTTTTGGTCTCTCTAGACTAGAGGATTGTATTAACTGTATAATTAAACCTCAGAGGATGTCATAGATAAACTATTTCCCACATTTCTACTCTATTTATTTGCTAGGAAAAATATTTTCTTTCATAAAATTTCTCTTCATTGCCATAGCAAGAAAGCACATATACAATTACCTTGAATAAATGTGTGTGTGTGTGAAGATTAGCCTGCCACTTCTGTATTAATTTATTTTATTATTGAAATCTCATATGAAATCTGCTGGTTAAGTAAAATAATTTAATAAGGTTGATGGGCACTGTTTTATACTGTCTCAGTAAAATAAGAAGAGTAAGTACAAACACAGTTTGATGCAAAATATTTGTGATTCTATCTGCTTTGAAGAAGCACTGTTCACAGCTATAAACTTATAGGGTTAAAACATGAAAACAAGAATGTTTAAAATGTTACAGAAAATAACTGTATCTATGATTATATCCAATGGGTATCCCTAAGATATACAATGAAAAAGGGATCACGTGGTTGGAGAAACAGGGAAAAACACTCAACGTGGAACATATGTGAATGTATCTGCAAAAGTCAACCAGGTTCACGTTCTTCATTCCACACTTTTTGTGATGTAACAATGTTAGCTTAGCATGCTAGTATACACAAAGTGTGCAAAATAGCCAGTCATTTTGTGCAAAACGAATATTCTAAACTTCATGTGAACGCTTAAACTATCACAACGAATATTCCAAACTTCATGTGAACAGTTAAACTATCACAACGAATATTCCAAACTTCATGTGAACAGTTAAACCATCACAACCAGAATATTCCATATTGTTAGATTACAGTTCTTTATCAACCTCTTCTATTGACATCTTAACACAATGAAACAAAAGTTAACTTTCATAGATAGAAGTTTATTTTAAAAAGATGATGATGATGTTTAACTTTCAAGGGAAGGAAGAAGTACAGCAAAAACTTGGAAGGTACAGTAACAAAAAATTAATGCATGGTAGAATTTACAAGTACCATTTATAAACAAGTTTTTTTTTATTTGAAAGATTAAATTTTCTGAGTGAAACTAAAAAGCGTATGTAGGGTAAACAATAAATATGATGAACTACTTTCATTCAGTGTATAAATTTTAACTATTTAAAGATGTTTTAAATTAATTATTTATTTTTCAACATCCTTTTGCATCACACACAAAATGTCAGTGTTGGAGCAAGTACTCTACAGAAAAAGACTGCACACAGAAAACAAACACGTGATTAAATGGACTTTGTTCTATTTAGCTCAACTACTTCAATTAAAGAAAATAGATACCTTGCACATTATTATGGAAAGCCAATAAAAAAATAACTGAAACTTAGTATTTTATTTCAATATTTTAGACAGTGCAGACATGGTAATTTTGGCTTTAAAGGGACTTCTCCTGTCTGTTTCTAGAGTGGCATGGCATTTTGGCTTCTATACTAGTGTTCTTTGACCTGAAGGTCTTGGTATAGAAGCAGAAAAAACACCATTCCACTCAATAGAAACGGGAAGGAACAGTCCAATAAAGCCAAAACTCTACATTCATTTTTTTCCTTTGAAAAGTCAAAATAAAAAATTGGGTAATTTCTAATTTTCAGTGAATATTGCTTTTAATTGTTAATTTTACATCTATAAACAGTTTTTACTTATGTAGTACAGCAGAATGTTTAGTAATAGTAACTGAAATACTGAAGTAGAAAACATATCTTTAAAGAATGTTGCTGTAAAATACCTTCCCCTATAATTTCAGCTGGAGACTATAAAGTCCTATGAAAGATGTATGTTAAACAGATGATCCTGGAGATTCATGCATTTTTTCATTACGGGTTCAACAAAGATCTTTAAGTTCTCTATTTTCTTTTGATATTTACAAGTAATATTTCAACACAAACAACATACAGAAACAACACTATTTTTATTCATTTCTTATTCTGAATTCACCATGTGTTAAGACACTTTCAAAGCTTGACTCATTCTAATAACTTTCTTAAAATATATAAAGTATATTTATGTTATAATCATTACAAGCATATCCTTATTTTTTTTTATATCAGAATACAGTATAATAGACTTAATACTCATAGCAATGTTATCTCAAAAATGAAAATGTTCCCCTTGTTAAAGAGAAGATAACTTTTAATATTGTGCTATCTTCATTACAGCTCAAAATAGGGAAAAGCTTTAATCTTTAGGAGATAATTGTTTCAAATAAAGCTTCCAAAATCAGAATGTTTAAACATTTATCACACACAACTTCTAACAAGAACTAGCTGAAACTTTAAAGAGTTATTGAAACTTTTATGCACAGGATGGAGTGCAGGTTAGCAGGATAACCACAATTGTTCCATGTTTATTTCTCTTGACCAAAAGTATCTTTACTCAGAAAGAAGATAAAAATATTAAATAGAAATAATATTCTGTTTCACGTAGCCACTCGTATCCCATATACACAGTAAGGGTGGGCAGCTACATGAACTGTAACCTTCACAATCAGCTAGACAACTCTTATTATTGGTAGGGCAAAATACTACTAAGCTTACAAAAATGGGATACTTTTATGATTTATTAACAAAAGTAATATATATTAAAACTGTGCTCTACTTTTAACTTACTATACTCACTGAGCTACCTACTATATTTACAAATATCTTCACACTAGTATTGACAAGTTAGTGATTCCCCCTTTTCCCTTCACTTTCTCATTGTTTTATGTGCATTACAGATCACCCTTTCAGTCAACAGTCGTATAAATGTATATTTTCCTGCAAAACACATATTTCTTATAGTATGATAAAGATCTCAAAATTTAGAATCTGTTTGAAACACTTAGGGTTTCAGTGAAAAACAGAGGTTTGGTATATGCAACAAATAAATAATTTTGTCATATTACAAGGTTTAATGAGTTGAACTTAATACAAAAACAATTTATTTAGCAAAAACTTACATGCTACTAAAACTTTTATCAACAAATGATAAATTAAAAATCAACATCAGAAAATGTTTAAAAAATTAATATAAACAATATTTTTGAGGTATCTGAATCATTTTAAAGCTTTGTCTTCTCATTTGAGATAAAACAAAATCATATTTATATTCATTTTTATTCAATATTGTTGAGAATGAGAAACATGACTGGATTCAAACTTGCTTTGTAAGCAAGGGAAACAGTCAGAATTCCTATTCTTTCAATTTTATACTTATGAAATTTACTCTAAAACTGAAGAAAATAGTCTAAATAAAAATTGCACAAAATTGAAAGTTATATGGCATTTTTAGAAAAAATGTTTAAAGTTTTGAATGTGTCTAATAAGATAAGAAATATGTATGTAGGTATATATATATA